TTGTTGCATCTTTGATATAATTTAATTGCCGAATAATGCAATAAAATGTTCCAGTAATCAATGTTCTAGGAAACTACGCACTTTACTTACCGGTATAGTCGCACAAAGAGTCTGATTCGTCAAACGCATCTGGGCAATCTGGCACTTCGTCACACAAATAATAGCTAGGTATACATTCACCGGTCGATGGACAAACAATCTCGTCGACACCACATCCCCAAGTAGTGATCGAAGTAAATATTGGAGGAGAGACTCTGCTTCCTTGATCAATGCCGTCAATATCATCGTTACGTAATCTTCGAGATTGGCGAATGTGCTAATAAAAGAAGATATTAGATCGATAGATTTATACATTATGTATCACTGAAATTATTTGCTAGGGGTGTACATTTAAAGTTGCTTGAATTAACCCGCCACATAAATACAAAGCAAAAAAACAATATATCGCGTGAATCCAGCATTATGCAAAGTTTCTAAGTTCTGAATTCACAGGATACGATTTACGAACAAGATGCTTTTTTTACAAGATTTTGGAAAATTTGTCATTTTCAGTTTGAAAAAAACGGGAAAAAAACGCTAAACGCATTTACTCTGTGTTGTGGCTATCAAGTTTTTGTTTGCAGAATCGAGAGAATCGACAGGTACATGCATTTGAAGGACATTACAGATGTATATTGGGCGAGACCATTTAAATACGTGGAGGTGATTTGGCAGCCAGCGAGGGCCTTCAAAACTGGGGACAGGGACTCGTTTTTGCAGGAATGAGTGTCGAGTCTTGCGGAATATTTAAAATGCAAGAAGAGAAGATAAATTGAACTTAGAATTGTTTTAAAAAATCGAGCGTGCCGACCACGACTGAAAAAGGAAATGGGCCAAACACAAACCTCGTACTTCTCAATTGAGTTATGTTGGTCTCGTTCGGATATTTTCAAATCAACACGAGGGCGACGTTCCGCTGCATTTGTTCTGGCAAGGTCAAGAGCGGAAATAATGCCGCAACTACACATCATTATAATTAGTAAAATGATGAAAAGCGGTGACATGGCTGCCTTCATCCTCGCCTCGAGCCGAAGGTTAAACGGCAATGTGAGAGAACTGTCAATACGGGGTCACGTCAGCAATTATCCCACAGTCCGTCTATCGTTCGACTTTTTATACCGATGACGTTTCACCAGGAGGACACTTTATGCAAATTAGCACTCACTTGACAATAAGACCACCTGGCTTTTTTTGAAGAAGGAACATGCCATTGTCGTTTGTAATTCAGAGTTTACGTTCCAATTTCCGGTTTATTTGTTTATTTTTCTTTTCGAATATATCATGATCAAATATGAAGAAGCAAACAAAGTGGCAATGAAAGTGATATTTACACCTACAGTATTACGTTTTACGTCAATTGCATATAAAATCATTTTAAAATCTTGTTTCCATTACAATTGCCCTCAAAATAAAAAGTGCGCCGAATATTTAAACGTTGACCAATTCATTTTATTAATATTGTTAGAACAATTTAAATGTTGGTACGAATATGAGTACTGTTACCATGGAAACAGCAATTTTCTATTAAAAACTCAAAAGATTCTTGACGAAATCTCACGAAAATATCACGGCGACTGTACGGTGAACAGGAAAAGCAATCGATCTGATTTTGGTACAGATGTGGAAATAGTTGCTATAATAACATCGACTTCGGACTTTTTTATTGACAACTTAAAAACACGAGGATATTATATTGCTAGGACCAAGCCATTAGATGTTTGCAGGGGCGGCGTTACAATTGACATGCCATGGAATCGGTAATTTTGCGAATGATTTTTCATTTATAACTCAAACATTTATTCATATTAATTCTTCAGCAGGAATTTCTAGTGGTAATTAGTACCAATCGATTATATTTTGCTAGAGATGTGGATTTAGTTTCCTGGAAAAAAAAAAATTTCGGAACTGATTACATGATGTGATTGACCATTTATCTTGCTTTCCTTATATGGTAACTGATCGAAGCGCGGTGGTCGTCACGCAGCGCATGTTCGAATTTTGTGTAAACAAACTATGTATTTTACACACGTTGTATACGTTGCTATGAATCCCATATCAATCAGGACGCGGCGCGACGACTGAAGCGCTTTAAAGGAAAAATTACGGCACGTAATGGTGTTACGGTGACAGATCAAGGGCGGTAGGCAAAAGTGTAAGATAAGCCAGGATTACTGACAATTTTCAAATGTTGACGATTTATTTGATAATGACAATGAAATAAGTTTAATTTGAATAACTATGTCTAAATGTACCTTATATATGTACACAATTTTAGCTGTACCATTCGCTTATATTATTTAATTCCACATTCGATTTGAAACGCATTGTATCCTTCGAGCCTTACGTTAGGCATAAAAAGTATTGAACAGCGCCAATACCGGCCATTTTTTGGGTTTTGGCAAATATTCAAAAGGAACGATCGCTCACGTGCACATTTCTCGTTTCATTAGTTTCCGCCATAAAGGAACAATATTTGGCGAAACGGGGTATGACACAGTGTGTTACATTTAAAAATTTGGTTTATCGAGCCTATTTTTTTTTAGTTATCGCACCCTGACACCGGCTGTACAAATATTCAAAATCAGAGTCACCCCGGAAGTTGTAAACAACGCATCAGTAGCTGAAGATTGCGAGGGTATATCGTTGTTTTAGTGCCGGTAAGAATATTTCGCCCATCATCGAACTAGATTTAAATATGCACAGAACGGAAGCCCGGACGGCAGCTATGCATCTAGTGACAGCGATGCATCACGAATGACAGCACAACAGCGATTATCATAAAGTTTCTGCATTTCACAGCAAACGTTCGATACTGAGCCGAGGTTAGTGAATTATGTTTTAACACGGTTACTAGAAGAAGAGTTTCCTAACCGTTCTTCTAGTAACCGTGGTTTTAATGATTGAACATGGTGTGTACCTTCTTCATTAAAAACAGACATGCATAATAATGCGAAGAAGAGCATGGTACTTGTAAGCAATTGTACGAGCAATGGATGAAGAAGTGCAGGTCACGTGTTCTATATGGCGAACACCTATTGGTCAGCTTGAGTCGTGTCATACCCCGTCTCATTCTCTTTCCCAGAGTTCCTTGCGGTTAGATTACCGAAAGTATCCCTGCCACCAAACTCCGCACAGTTCGATACGCGTTACTTATCATCACTA